TGCTGGACACCAGTTGGACTTGCCACAGAAGCCATTAATCTTGGCTTTTCAGAGAAAATCTTCAGGAGAATTTATTTGCAAGGGGAATTATGAGGATTTAGGATTTGCCCTCAAATTTCTCTTTTAGGCTGCTCTTCAAATAAATATTTCCCAATCCAAAAGAGACCATAGTTATTTTGGATGTTTGTACTTTAATATCCGAATGCATTGCTTTTTCTTAGTTTTACAAGAACCTGTCTTCACTGCAAGGAGTCTTGTTACCCTACAAATCTGAATCCAGCAGTGATTAATGATGCACTCAATAATAAATGAGGATAATTTCAGAACACTTGGCTTTGTTTTAAAGGGCAAGATTTTGGAAGCAGGTTCGCAGGACTCCATCCAGATCTGTCTTCCTGGCACGTAACTCGGGGGACCATGCCCAGGCTCCAGGTGAGAGCAAAGGGCGGGAGAGGGGACACTCGCTTCTCACACGTCTGGCCCTGGGGTAGGGAGCTCATTAGGACTCCAGGCACCAGAACCCCACAGCACAGAGGCCTTTGGATGCCCTTCTGTGTCCTGGAAAGGAGAGGCAGCTCCTCTCCAACTCGGGATGGGGCTGGGAGAGGTCTTGGGAGCAGGCAGGCCTTGGAGGCCACCGCAGGTCCCCAAATGTCCCTGTGCTGAGGTCAGAGGCTCGCTTGAGCCCAGGAGTTTGAGACCTGCCTGGACAACATAGTGAGACCCCATCACTACAAAATAAAAAAATTAGCTGAGCACAGTGGTGTGTGCCTGTGGTCTTAGCTACTCAGGAGGCTGAGGTAGGAGGATCACTTGAGCCCAGGAGTTTGAGGTTGCAGTGACCTGATTGCACCAGTACACTGCATTTACTTGCTGGGCCTGCTGGCTGTTCTGGGTCTCAAGGATCTGTCTACAATTCTGAACTAAGAACATGTAACTCTACTAGGCTCACAGCTCACCCTACACCAGTGTTCATGATGTGGGATTTCTGAGTTGATTGCACATGAGACCCGGCCAGGTCTTGACTCACTGCCGGAATTTTCCACGTCTTTCTGGAGATAAAGCCTATCTCTGGCTTGGTGAATGCTGTCTGACTCTTCATCTTCCTCCATTTGGCATTTTGCTTTGGAAACTCAGAGTGTTGTCAAAGTATTTGTACCTGCATTTATGTTAGAGATTCTAAAAAATACACCTCTGAGCTGGGTGCTGTGGCTCATGTCTATAATCACAGCACTTTGGGAGGCCAAGGTGGGAGGATCACTTGAACCCAGGAGTTCAAGACCAGCCTGAGCAACAAAGCAAGACCTTGTCTTCATAAAAGGTAAAAAAATTAGCCAGGCATATTGGCATGTGCCTGTAGTCACAGCTACTTGGGAGGCTGAGGTCAGAGGCTCGCTTGAGCCCAGGAGTTTGAGACCTGCCTGGACAACATAGTGAGACCCCATCACTACAAAATAAAAAAATTAGCTGAACACAGTGGTGTGTGCCTGTGGTCTTAGCTACTCAGGAGGCTGAGGTAGGAGGATCACTTGAGCCCAGGAGTTTGAGGTTGCAGTGACCTGACTGCACCAGTACACTCCAGCCTGGGCTATGCAGTGAGACGCTGTCTCAGTAATCAATCAATCAATCAGTCAATCAATAAAATGAAACTCTGATTTTTGTACAGAAAAAAAAGATGTTTTGGGAGGACAACCTTAAGGCAAAGAAAACAAAGTTTTCTAGTCCATTCTCCTTATAACCTGCTGCTTTCATGTGCTAGGAATCATAATGGGATAATTAATTGAGTGGCCACAGTGGCAGGGACTGTCCTAAAGGCTGCATGTATATTTCATCATTGAGTTCTCACAGCAATCTCAGCAGGCAGGATCTGTTTTTAGCCCTTCTCCCCATTGTACAGGTGAGGAAACTGAGGGACCAAGATGCATTACTTGGCCAAAGGTAGACAGCAAATCAATGGCGCCCAGAAGCAAATACAAACATTTTGACTCCAAAACACTTGCCCATAAACTGCACGCACCACTGCATGGAGACAGATAACAAGGAACATCACAAGTCAGTCATCTAGAAGCAGTTTCATGGATGATACAAACTTAATTTAAATGCATGAATTCCTTCTCACAGGATGAAGAGCAATCGGATGCCTTCTCGGTTACAAACCTGTTTGTAGAGGGCATTGATAGTTGCTATATTTTACACAGTTGTTTTGGAGGTTCCAGATGGCAGATTACATACAAAGAAAAACCCTTTTTTGATGACGTGGATTATCATTACATAGATTTGCAGTGAGTCAAGCCATGTTCCCTGGCTCTATTATCTTATTCGGTGAAAGTCTGGTATAACACAGGAAGTGTAGGAAGTATACCCTATTAGGCAGATGTTGCAAAGGAATTTCACCGTGTTTGGCACTTCAGTTTCATACAGAATCTCAGGTCTGACATGGAAGAAGTTTTGATGACGTATTGCCAACTTTGTATCACCCCCAAAATGCTTTAGAGAAATATCTCTCTACAGAGGTGAAGAAAAGCAAGGAACTGAATTTAACTAGTGAATTCGATCAACGTGTCCAGCAAATTGGGGTACCAAGTCCTATTTTTCTGTAACAGAAGAAAACTGCATCATGACCACCACCGAGCTCAACTGTTCCTGAACGTACTCAGCTGAAATCCTTGCCATGTCTCAGTTCTCATTTCACTATGCTAATAAGGGAGCCCAGAGGGTGGGTCTACACATGTAAAATGGATGGTTCTTAACACATCAGCGCTTTGTTGTTAGCCAGATTGCTGCACAACTGATTCTGCTTCTGCAGCAACTGCCATCCATCACCAGGACTGCTCTGCTTGGGGACAGCCCGGCCACAGCCCCGCTCATGGCCACATGGGTCTTGGACGTGGTCTAGGGCCATAACGCAGTGATGAAGCAGGTGGATTGTAGAGGCTTTTACAAGCAACATCCCTCATTTGATGAAATAGATATCTTTCTGCCGACTTGGCTCTGTCACTGAAACCTGGTGTTTTTCAGCCCGGTAATTCTTCAAATGTGATGTTGTAAAGACTGTTAAGTGCATTAATTCCCCCTTTTTGTTAGTGCTGTACGTTCCATACAGGGTTTGCTGAACATCCGTATTAATCAGACAAACTAAAGCACTGAGTGGATCTAAACAGCTCATTTTAATGACTTTTCTTCACCATGAGAAAGCATACTATATGCAAACAACCACCTGATTTTAGCAAGAGGGCTAAAGATTATATTGCACAGATGGGGTTGCATTATTTAAACTTAAAATTTAGCCTGGGCATGGTGGCTCACGCCTGTAATCCTAGCACTTTGGGAGGCCAAGGTAATCCTAGCACTTTGAGAGGCTGAGGCGGGCGAATCCTTGAGATTAGGAGTTCGAGATCAGCCTGGCCAACATGGTGAAATGCTGTCTTTTCTAAAAATACAAAAATTAGCTGGAAATCACCTGAATCCGGGAGGCAGAGGTTGCAGTGAGCCGAGATGGCGCCACTGTACTCCAGCCTGGGCAACAGAGCGAGACTCTGTCTCAACAAAAACAAACAACAAAACAAACAGAAAACCCTTAAATTCAAATTCAAATTCAAATTTTGCTATTAAAAACATCCTCAATTCAATAAATCACAACTTGTATTTTGAAATATTGGTGGAATTATCTTATCTGCTCTATTTCAACCTTAAACAGCTGAGTTAAAAGCCTAATTCCTACCAAAAGCCTTTAAAATGAGAAATGAACTGTGATGATACTTTCTCCCCTGATTAAATAAGATGCAAGAGTTGAGGCTTTGCCTGAGAGGACATTCCTTCAGAAGTCAATTTGGTTTTGACTTCGTTAGAGCAGTAAAATGTGGGTGGTGAATCTGAGTGAAAGCTGCCATGTTCTAAAAAGGCATGAAGACTTAGCTGGACCGGTAGTTGCCTGGCAGAAGCGATTTAGGATTGGAAAGTCGCTGTGATCTGGATTTTAATGAATTGCATGCTATTGACGAATTCTTCAGCAGTTAGCCTGGATCCTTTCCATTCAACTTAGACCTTTCTGCCTAGTTACTCCAACTTAAACCTCAGTTCCCGGAGGTATCAAATCAAATTTGTCTTATAGCTGTTGTCTTTGACGGCAATGAGCCCGAGAGACGTTCAATTTTCAGTGAATTTTAGCCCCTTTGTGGATACTATTAAGTCACTCCTGACCCAAGCAGAAGATTGGTCTTTGCTCTAAGGCAGCTAAAGAGCGACTATTTTTCCAAATTGCACAAAAGGGAGGATTTATCAAGCACCTTTTCTCTCCGGGAGGACAAACCCAGAACAGGAGAACTTTATTACTTTCTCTCTTGGCTGTAAATTATGCTATTCAGATGTATTTGAAAGCTTCTCTTTAGGCTCTTGTTTGAGCCATAAAACTTGATACCTGGGGCCAAATGCCTTTATCCCCAAGAAGGGTGAAGAAGATGAAAAGACAGCAACTCTAGGCTGATGCTACACTAGCGATGGGAAAGACATGTGGGCAGTGGAGGAAGTTACAGTGCATGATTTATGCCTCCACGACCTTATATTCTACTCTGAAATTAATGTTACTGTTTGCATAGGATCACTGGCCTTTCAAAACCTGAATTAGCCATTCGGAAAACACTAGGTTTAATCAATATCCCCAATTTGATTGTTGTTATATTTATTTATTTACTTAATTTGTTTATTTTTGAGACGGAGTCTTGCTCTGTCACCCAGGCTGGAGTGTAGTGGTGCAACCTTGGCTCACTGCAACCTCTGCCTCCCAGGTTCAAGCGATCCTCCTGCTTCTGCTTCCCCAGTAGAGACAGGGGTTTTGCCATGTTGGCCAGGCTGGTCTCAAACTCTTGACCCCAAGCGATCTGCCAGCCTCAGCCTCTCAGAGTGCTAGGATTACAGGCATGAGCCACTGCGCCTGGCCTGTTGTCGTTATTTTTAATACCAGGATTTTAAATCTTATGAATTTCAATAAGCCAGCCACTCACCTGGAGAGGGTTTGCTGGGGTCCGCTTTCTCTGCTTTCCTTGCAGTCATGGTACTTTTATGTTTCTGCTTGACTGATGTTTGGTCAATTGCTGGAAGTTTGGAGTCACACTTAAATGCAGATATCTTGGTAGATGATCTTGGTTCAGTTAGAGGATCCTCCTCTCCAGAACTCTACCAAAAATGAAAGATGTCTAAGTATCAGTGGTCAACTTCGTTAGGCACAGAAAACAGAATGAGGCAAATGCAGTGACCCCCTCCAGCAATAATCCTAGAGTCTTCTGCCAGGGTCAACGTGCCCTTTCACCAGAGAGATTCGGATGGACTGGGCATAGCAACTTAGAAATAACAGCAGAGTTAATGAGTCTGTTTTATAGAACGTTAAGAAAGAATGCATTTTTCTATGAGTGTCTTTTGTAGAACATCATGAAAAGAATGCATTTCTGACCCTTAAGTAATTTGATGACCAATAAATAGCTCATGTTAAAAGCTACATATGAAAGCAGGAGAAAAAAAAAATAAGTGCTTTTAAGCTTCGCATTGTTTGAACTATTTTCAAGATAGGTTAGTTGAACTATTTTCGAAATAGGTTAGAAAAAAAAATGTTCCTTATGTTAATCATATACTTGACAATGACAAGGAAATGTAGATAGTGTGGCAGAGACCGATTAAATCCAACCTCAGTTTCAATACTCTGCATTGTTCGATGCAACAGGAGACAGCCTAATCTTTTTTTTTTTTTTTTTTTTTTTTGAGACGGAGTTTCGCTCTTGTTACCCAGGCTGGAGTGCAATGGCGCGATCTCAACTCACCGCAACCTCCGCCTTCTGGGTTCAGGCAATTCTCCTGCCTCAGCCTCCTGAGTAGCTGGGATTACAGGCACGCGCCACCATGCCCAGCAAATTTTTTGTATTTTTAGTAGAGACGGGGTTTCACCATGTTGACCAGGATGGTCTCGATCTCTCGACCTCGTGATCCACCCGCCTCGGCCTCCCAAAGTGCTAGGATTACAGGCTTGAGCCACCGCGCCCGGCCGCAAGCCTAATCTTTTTTAAAGTCCCCTCCTTGTCCGTCTTCTATAAAGAACTCAGTCTAAATCTATGCATGGACAAATTATGATTCTTGCTGTGTCAGAATATCTCAACACAGCCTTGCAGATGCAATAAAAATTATCCAGGCATGGAACAGCTTTATACTTGGCTACACTTACACCTACCAAAGAAAGGATGAAAACAATATACATAGCAGAAACCTGGTCTTCAAGGTGATTTAAGCACAGCCTTATGGCTTTAGGTCCTGGTGTTGCTATGACTTACTAGGCTGTCTGTTCTGCAACAAACAAATCACTAGGTTCCCCGCTCCGTGACCCTGGGGGCCACTGGGGAGGGGAAGAACTAAGTTCTACAGTGTGGGAGAACTCGTAGTCCAGTGTTGGAAAGTCTTCTGAACATGTGGTCTTTCGCAGACATAGAATGAATGCTAAATAAATCTTCTCAGTACCCCCCCCCCCCAACTGTTGCAATTTGTATTGATCTTGCTCATCGTTCTCCCTGACAGTTGTGGCATTTTCATTTCACAGGCTCCTGACTCAGGAAAATACTCTGAATAGCTCTGAATTACTGGGTGTGATGTAAGACAAACTAAATTCTAAGAAAGTCCTCTACGTGCCAGTCTTCTGTAAAGAAGTCCATATAAATCTACAGGTGGACATATCATTATCCTCTGAGATGATGAATCATGTTTTTAAATTTAGAGTTTGGATACAGCCTTCAAACTAATAATTCTTGTTTCTCTGCACAGTTTCAGAAAACAGACCACCCTCAGATAAAGGGGTGGGAAAAACATAAGACACAACCAACGGATTGTTCTCCCCTTTCTCTTTCGATTTTGCTGTTTAATCAAAATCCTTGCAAATTATTCCAAAATGTCAAAGATGAAACTTTAGGTCATTTCTTTTCTTCTTCTTCTTCTTCTTTTTTTTTGAGACAAAGTTTCACTCTTAGCGCTCAGGCTGGAGTGCAGTGGTGCCATCTCGGCTCACTGCAACCTCCGCCTCCCAGGTTCAAGTGATTCTCCTGCCTCAGCCTCCCGAGTAGCTGGGATTACAGGCAACCACCACCACACCCAGCTAATTTTTGTATTTTTAGTAGAGACGGGGTTTCACCATATTGGCCAGGCTGGACTTGAACTCCTGACCTTAGGTGATCCACCTGTCTCGGCCTCCCAAAATGCTGGAAATACAGGCGTGAGCCACTGTGCTTGGCTGAAACATTAGGTCATTTCTGAACATGAGATGGGTTCTCTATTCTCAGAAAAGAAAACGTGGGCCAATTTTAAGTAGGCGAACTAAGATTGTCATTGTAATTGGGTCCTGGAAGTCACAGTTCTGGAACTGGGTCCCAAGAAGAGCATCAATTAATATGGGACAGAATTTCTTCCACAAACTGCCCAACACAATCAGCTCAATGTCGTGGGTTAAGTCAACTCCTGCAGGGCCCTGCACGTCAGCCCTTTCTTTCCAGCCAGCAGAAAGGGAGGAAAAAATGCCTCAGGCGAGGATGCCCAACACCTGTGTCAGCAGCATCAGCAGCAGGTGTCCGCCCATCTTAGCGATCCATCTCCATTACCCCCAGCCAGGGCCGGAATTCTTGGCTTGCACCAGGCGGAGGTGGATAGGGAGGAGCTGGCCAACAGACCTCTTGATTGGTTGGGGTGTTAAGCCATGTTTATCCTTCCTCCACCCACTCATTAAACCTCAAGCCTTTGGTGCACTGAAGAGGTGAGAGCTTGGCCAGTTAAACTGTCCTGTGACCTGCGGCACAGTGAGCTTGCAATGTGAGTACATCCTTCTCTGGTTCAGTTAACGTTATTTTTAGGTGGTAACCCTTAAGCGTCTAGAAATGACAGCTAGAAGTCGGTGTTTTATCGGTTGTAAACTGAAGGCACAATGGCAAGAAGTATAATACAAACGTGCTAATGGATTTTTTCCTGCTCGCCTCATTGAGAAATCTTAAATAAATCACATTCACCTTTTTTTCTTCATTCTGTCCTCTTACGTTCTCAGCCATTTCCATCTATCCTCTTTTCTTTTTCTTTCTTTTTTTTTTTTGGAGACAAAGTCTCGCTCTGTTGCCCAGGCTGGAGTGCAGTAGCGTGATCTCGGCTCACTGCAACCCCCGCCTTCCAGGTTCAAGCAATTTTCCTGCCTCAGCCTCCCGAGTAGCTGGGATTACAAGAACACACTGCCATTCCCGGCTAATTTTTTTTTGTATTTTAGTAGAGATGGGGGTTTCACTGTGTTGCTCTGGCTGGTCTTGAACTCTTGAGCTCAGGCAATCTGCCCGCCATAGCCTCCCAAAGTGCTAGGATTATAGGCATGAGCCACAGCACCCGGCCTATCCTCCTTCATGAAAATCCGTCCTATCACGCAGGGAGGATCGTCCTTGGCTGGGAGAAGTTGTAGTAAATCATCCTGAGACTAAAGTACGGTATTTAAGACCACGGAGCCCAGCTTCACGGGAGTGAATCCCAGCTCTTGCACCTAGTAATTGTGTGACATTGGGTTAGTTCATTTCTCTGGATCTCAGATTTCTCATCCGTGAACAACAGTATCCACTTTTTGGTGGTTTTGTGAGGATTACACAACATATATATATGTCTGTATAGCACTTAGAACAACACCATATACATGTAACCCAGTAAGTGCCATGTAAGTATTGGCTTTTATAATTAGCCATTAATTAATGTTCAGCCATTAAAAAAATTAATTAGCTAACTACTAAACATTTACTACCTGTGGTTGAAACCAAAGCCAAGTCCCCAAAGAAAAATCCTATTGGATTTCACCTATTCCAAAAGGGTATATACATGGCAGGTCAGTTCCACACCAGACTCTTGGTTTCTTCTCCAGGGAATATAATCTATGATAGTCTTATAAATGGCCATTGAAATTTACCTAGTTTTAAGAAAATATGCTGCAACAGTTTTTCAGACAGTAAAGCTCTAATGGCAAATATCTAACATTAGAGATAAACAATAGTAAGTAAAATTTTAAATTTAAAGTTGATTTTAAAATTGCATCTTTTCCTCTTATATTTTTGAAAAATAATTACAATTTTCATTTCTTCCTCATGTGTTTCCAAGTTGAAATGTCACTTGGAGGTGGAGGCAACAGCACACTGCTATTTCTTTGCGGGAGAAAAACCAGCTCTATCTTTAAAAATCAAAGCCCAGGGCTGGGCATGGTGGTTCACCTGTAATCCCAGCATTTTGGCAGGCTGAGGCAGGCAGATGACGAAGTCAGGAGTTTGAGACCAGCCTGACCAACATGGTGAAACCCCCTACTAAAAATACAAAAATTAGCCAGGTATGGTGGTGGGCACCTGTAATCCCAGCTACTCAGGAGGCTGAGGCAGGAGAATTGCTAAAACCCGGGAGACGAAGGTTGCAGTTAGCCAAGATTTTCACCACTGCACTCCAGCCTGGGCGACAGAGCAAAACTCTGTCTCAAAAAAAAAAAAAAAAAAAAAAAAATCAAAGCCCACGAAATTAAAAAGAAGAAACCAAAACGAAACAAAAACCCATGAGACTTGAGTATACTTCATGTTTTCTATTGAATTTGATGAAAGTTCTAAAAAAGCCATGTTAACTAAAATAAGCTGATAAAATTACTATTTACTTGAGAATTGTCATTTTTAAACTTAAGGTTTTCCCCAAAGCTCCTGAACTTGCTCTACTGGCCTCTTACATAATAAAGTAGAGCTATCACTTTGCCCAGGGTTACGCTCTTTCAAAAGTTCAGAGAAAGACCCACCCTGAGAAGAGAAGGAGCTTAACTGGGGAATGCAGCATTGGGCAGTGAGGTAATGACATCATGGTTCGAGTTAGATGTCCTGGAAGATGAAGACACATGGGTTGGGAAGGGGGATGTATTTCCTTGGGAATATGAGGATGATTAGATTCTTAACAACTAGGACCTAACAATATGGTGTCTGGAATGATAAGACGACCGCGAACAGAGACGACCAGAAGAGCAAGTAGAATAAGGCAGTCAGGGACAGAAAAGACTGCAAGTTATTTTCCAACTCTTGCCTGATGGCTCCTTTCCAAGACCCAGGAAACTGGTTCTCAACTGATATGCCATTTCTGCCCCTCCCCCAGAGGCGCTACTGAAT